GATTCCTGTGGCAATATTCTCCATCGGCGTGACATGGCGGCTTCTGGTTTCGCTGGTTTGCGCTTCTGTTTTGCGCGTCGGCGTCTTCGTCCTGGGCAAAACAGAGGGAGGCCCTAAAAAGTAACCTGTGGAGTGACCAATGGAAGAGTTAGGACAATCGAAGAATCGCAAACGAAGTCTCGTTACACGAAGGAATTCGACGTCCGTGCTTCCATCCACAATTTGTTATAGGGACGTTGTGCTTGCGGCGGCATTTATAGCAAATGTAGGACTTACCGCTCATGCCCAGACGAACCCTCCCGCATCGACTGCTTCTACCCAGCAAGTTACTTCAGCATTCACAACTCTTCCAGAGCGTTGCATCGTTCCTGCTTCTACATTTCACGGTGTCAACCCTTGGCTCCTGCGCGCAGTGCTCCAAGTAGAGTCAGGCCTCAAACCAGATGCTATTGGCAAGAACAGCAACGGCACCATCGACATTGGTATTGGCCAGATGAACTCCATGCACCTACCGGAGCTTAAAAAGTACGGTATTGAAGCGGCGCATCTTACGGACGCGTGTGTGGCCACCTATGTAGCGGCCTGGCATCTCAAGAAGCTGGTGACGCAATACGGAAATACTTGGGAAGCAGTAGCGCGATATCACAGCGCAACGCCAGTGCTCAATCAGAGGTACCAAATCCTGCTGCGTAACCAGTTGATCAAATCAGCTGTGCTGCCGGGTGTTCCAGCACCAGTACCACCAATAAATCAAAACGCTTCCCCAACCACACGCCAATCAGAAGATTCACAGAATGCAGCTCGATTTTCTTCAATGAGTGTTTTTGAGGCACCACAATAGAAATCGAGAACTCGCATCCCGCATCCTCCGACAATCGACACAGTGATTCACCCTGCAACTTGGCGGTATCGCGCTAAAAATGTTGTTGGTTGATTTTGCGGACCATTCCACATCGGCTGCCAACCCACTTTCTTATCGTGTGCACAATTGTCAATCAGGAATGAGAAGGCGAAGTTTGGCAGATCCATTAAAAAGCATGTACAGGCTTGAAGTACCGCAAGCGCTAGCATCGCTTCCGCCGACGTTTACCGTATATGTTCCTGCATCCAAATGCTCCATGCAATAGCCACTTGGCGTGAAATATCCGGTACCGCCTCCAGCAGGAAGGTTTTGGCTGACAGTGCATACGCCAGCCCCACTAGGGGCGGCCAAACTGACGTACAGGCTCACATAAGATCCGTAATACCTATAGGCAACTGCGTCGACATTAATGCCGTAAAAACCGGGAGTCGTGACAGTCAAATAGCCAGGCGAAGCACCACATCCAGAGATGTATTGGCTACTCGGGGTGTACCCGTAAATCGGCGTGCTGCTGAACTTTGGACCGACAGCTTTGTACACCCCGGATTGGCAAGACAGTATCTGACCGGTTGAATCCCTTGAAATGAGCCCGCTGACAGAGCACGCAGCCCCGACAGTAACTACATCACTGAGACCAAGTTTCCCGACAGTGGCAACGCCGGTCACAGACATGGTGCCGCCAACCGAGAGATTATTTGCAACAGAGAAGTTTCCGCTATCGTCTACAGCAAGTGCTGCCCATGAAGCACCATTACAGGTGTAGGCTCGTGGACCGGAACCCACACTTGGGCTTGAAACGACACGGGTTTGCCCGCTTATAGACGCAGTACATGCCGGCAGTGCGGCAAAGTTTGCGACAGGGTCTTGCCAGAAAGCCGATCCCTGTGTTTTCCAGACTCCTGACTGGCAAGAGAGAACAGCGCCTGTACTGTCGCGAGCAACTGCACCAGCCCGTGTACAAACACCATTTGCCGTCTGTATCGAGTTCATAACGAGGGGCGTGTTCATTTCATTCAACTCGGGCCGGCCTGGCACGGAATCCCTTGCGAGAAAAGCTGAAGTGGTATCGCCATTTTCAAACCAGAGTGCCATAACTGGGTGACCCACAGCTACGCGGACGTTTCCCGACGTGCCGTCACAACGGCGTGACAAGTTGTTAGTGAGATTGTCGAAGGTGGCTACAGGTATCGACCAGCCACCGACCGCACCGCGAACCAACGCCGTATTGGATGAGTACACCCCGCCGCCACTGCCACCAACAATTCCAGCCGCGCTGCCCAGGGAGAGGTCATCAAGCGCTGAACCATTCTCTGACACCACCAAGGCCTGCAAACGATTAGCAGAAGGCTGTAGAACCAAAGCACACAAAGTTTGCCCATAGGCATTTACCGCTGTGTAACCTGATGGCAACTTGCCGGCGGCAATAAGTGTTGAAACGTCGATCAGCGCTGGTGAGGTAGATGTAGCAACTGCCATCACCGCGGAATAGTTGTCCTTGATATACGCCCTGGCCGCATCCCCAAAGGTACGCTGCTGACTCGCGGTGACGGTAACTTTGGTGTCGTCTGAAAATCTGTTGGCTACGTTGTTGATACCCACAAGCGCCATCGACAAAATGCCAAGACTGATGATCACTTCCAGCAGAGTAAGACCGGCCTGACGGTTGGTGCGAAAACCCATAACGATGCCTCAGTTGAATTGGACGATGCAGAGATCAAACACTTTGCTTTTTCAATGCTTCTTCAAGTTTCTTTACGGCCATCGCCTGACCTGCAACAGTCCGTATCGCGTTACCTTTGGTGATCTTCTTCTCGGCGACAAGCACCGCCAGGCTATGGGCCATAGAGCAGGAAACACCACCTGTATTGGCCAATTCGTTGTTGAAGTCAACGGCGTTCCCCAAAAACTTGGAAAACTGCTGCTCATGGTTGAACATGAGCTCGGCAGCGACAACTCCCTTGGCCTTTTCATCTCCTATTCCAGGAACGACGGCCTGATGTATGACACCCATCAAAGACGTAGACAAGCTGACAAGTTTGGACGCTTCTTCCCCCGGGAAAAATGAAAGGAGTTTCTGAATGGCACCGAACGCTGAGCTCGCATGGAGAGTGGCAATGACAAGATGGCCTGACTCTCCAGCGAGAATCGCATTTTCTGCGGTGTCACGGTCACGAATTTCCCCAATCACGATCACATCCGGCCGTTGTCGCATTGCGCCGCGAACACCCTCAAAGAAGCTGGGCGTGTCGGGCCCCACTTCCCTCTGTGAAAATACGGCTTTGTTAGACTTGAAAACAAACTCGATGGGGTCTTCAATGGTTTCGATGTGGACATTCCTGACCTGGTTGAGTGCATCAACCAGAGCAGCCATGGTTGTCGACTTCCCAGCACCAGTGGCGCCGGAAATCAGAACCAGTCCACTAGGGTTTTCAACCATCAGGGCAATTTGTTTCGGCAGACCTGTATTTGGTAGGGTGATTGGGTCAACAGGTGTACGGCGAATGGCGAGCATCTGCTTGTTGCCTCGCATTGCCAAATAGGCAGTGATGCGAAGTCGCCAGTTCCCGGCAACAAAGGGGCGGCTGAAACCACCTTTTTTTAGAAGTTCCGCCCAGTCCGGATCCATCGTCTCGAGAATGTATTCAATGTCCGCTTGGGAAAACGGTTCGCTCTTGTAAGGAGACCAGCCAGAAGCGTCCCGAACCATTACCGGTTCACCAACACAAACAAGCACGTCGCTAAATGGTTCTGGGCTATCCACAATGCCAAGCACAGCTGCTAAGGTTTGCCCCTTTTGGTCGAGTTCGACAATTTGTTCCATTCCAGACCCCTATTTATTTGCCGACTATGGTGATTGCGCCGTTTGGCACAGCAGCGGGCACCGTGATTCCTGTAGAAAAGCCGGTCGCACTAACAAGTGCTCCGGACGCATTGCGACCTACAAGAAATGATTTATTGGTTTTCTCGTACAGCACGTCGAGCAAAAGCGGCGTTGTACTAACAGCTGATTCGTAAACATACAAAGTCCCACCCGACACGACAACATTTGTCCACGCTGGATCTCGATTCGCGCCCCATATAGGTGTGAAACCAGCATCTGCAACTGTGCCTACAAAACTGGGATTTGCGTTCAGGTAATCAACAAGACCTTCCCGGTATGCCAAGACGGAAGTTGCCGTAGCACTTGCCACAGCAGTGGTCAATTGCGCCTCTTGTTGAGGAACGTGCAAAGCCATACCGAGGGAAAGCATCGCGATGAAAAAAAGACTGACAAGTAGTGGCATCAGCCGACCCTGCCACCGCTCATGATCATGCGTGTCTTTTGCAGTTGAGCAATACTCTTGAGCTGCTCGAATTGGCGGCGACGGATACTCTGGCGCGCTGCAGATTCATCGTCGCCAGCAATAAAAAGGGAGTCGAGTAGAAGTTGCTTGCGGGTACCAGTACTCTCAAGCTTTTGATTGATGACGGCAGTAATGCCAGTTGCCAACATCCCCAAAACATCGTCAGCAGATGCACCGTCCGTATTGGCAAGTGCGAATATTCGCTCAATAGCCATGGACGGGTTGTCCGCATGGGCCGTGCAGATGACAAGTTTTCCATTAATCGCGGCGCGCAGGGCTTCGATGGCCGTTTCTGAGTCCCGAATCTCTCCGAGAAACATGATTGACGGCGCCCATCGAGCTGCTTGGCGACATGCGTGCCCGAATCCTCCTGGTCCAACCCATGTCTGGTAACACACACCTTCTCCGTGACGTCCATGTAGCGGTTGCTCTGGGGGATCCTCCACAGTCACCGCAACACCACCGTATTTGGCTATCCGAGAAGCGACAAGGGATGAAGCGGTTGTGGTTTTACCTTGGCCAAAAGTACCGCTGACGATAAGTAAACCCGTAAGGTTAGGCGCCATCAGGTTTGTCACCATTGCCGGTGGGATACCAAGTTCGTTGATCGACTTGATCTTGTCTGCGAGCCTTCTGAGGACAAATACCGTCTCGTCAATCGTGGGCATAACTGATGCGCGATAGGAAATCTTGCTATGCCGGATCGGAAAATCTTCGCGCAAAGGGTTCAGATCACGGTAATTCGCGCAGGCATCACGAAGCTCTTTCGCTTCCTGCACTGATTCCTCGGGCACAGGAACAGGATCAGAAGTTCCGGGAATGCCCGAAACCCACGAGCTGTCCCTGCCGAGATACAGGTCAGAAAAGTTCAGTTCAAGAAGAGACATCAGGCCGACTGGAAAACAATGGTGTTTGTGGCCGCAGCGGAACACGCCGTAGATGCTGTGTCAGGTGTGATCGGGAATGTCGTGATGGCCGCTGCAGAGCCCACTTTCACCGAATTCCAGCCCCCAGATGTAGCCAACAGAGACAGGCATACATCGGTAGGGATCGACGTGGTAGTGATAGTGAAGTTCGTGCTGGCGCCCTGGACCACTACAGTTCCATTGAGCGAATGAGAGATTGTTGGCGGCGTACCGGCGGTCACGCTCATCGTCGACGGTACCTTGTTCCCGTTGACCAAAATGCTGTTGAGATTGGAGGTACCGTAGCCGCCCTGGCCCATATACATAGCTTTTGTGCTTGCACGCAGTGCATTGAGATCAGAAAGCATCTGGGTTGACGCTTGTGACGAGGAAGCACCACCGAAAAGTGCGAGCGCGCCGCCGACAACAAGTGCAAAGATGGTCAAGGAGACGATGGTCTCGATGAGCGTGAGGCCTGCCTGTTTGTTCTTAGTGCGTCGAGAAACGAGTTTGGATGATGTAAACATGAAATGGCTCCTTTGGTTAAAAACACTCAACGAATTCAGCTCTAGTGCGAGCCTCTTTGCAGCAGTTGAGTAAGTTGCAGCTGCATAGAAATCAATCCTGATACCGTGAACACAATAAGTACC